CCGGGCCTGCTTGCGCGCACCGCGACTAATTCCACGGGTCCCTGAAGTTTACGGCCGGGTACTCACCTCTATGGCCTGGAGGGGACTCGAACTGATGACCATTGGGGAGCAAACCCAAAGCCTGATCAATTGAGCAACCCCTCAAGGTTAAATTTTAGGGTCCAAGGGAATTGAAAATTGAACCTCTAAGGAAAATAATGGATTTCTCAATGAAGTGATTTTACAATTTGAAATTTATTTCTTAATAAATGATACGATCAAATTAAGTACTAAGAGATAAATATGCTAACACTTAAATGAATAGCAATGAATGAAGTTCAGTGTTACTGTGTTAGATGAGAGAACTTTAATGAAAACTATTATTTTTAAAACTTGATTCAGTCAAATAAATGTTTGAAGAATTTAAAAGATGTAAGTTCAAAGTGTTTTTGCTCAAGTAATTCTCACTTTGATACTCTTTTTGAATATGTTTTGAATGCAAAAAATATATGTATTTATAGAGTTCAAAACGTTAAAAAATCTGGAAGTTCGGATGACCACATCTGATTGACCGCCTTTTGTCTGGATGACCAATATAACAGTTTGTATAGAAAAAATCAGAGATCGCAACGGTCAAATTTTGGGCCGTTGGAAGTTTCCGGTTGACCACCAGGCAGTTCGGCCTTTTGTAGGTTTTGACCCCATTTGTTCTGATTTGAAGATTTTGAAAAGCATAAACTTTTGGAGAGTATTTTTAATTAATTTTTCAAGATAAAAAGTGTTTTTCAAGTCCAAATATTAATTTTTAAAAGTCATTTTTACATTTGATCAATTCATTGTATTCAAATGACTTTTAATGCACAAAATTATTTTTAATGCATGAAAGGGTTTTGAACTTAAGTATTCATTGTCATCCATTACCTGTCCCTGACCCGAATACCTCATTAAGCAGGTTCGGGACGGGGGCCCGCGGTATCGGGTTTGTCGGGTCTTTTTTGCTCCCTAAGAATGTGTTGTTAAGAAGTAGGAGAATTTTTTGGTATATGTGTAGAATATTTTATTGTGTTAATATATGATTGAAAATGATTTTGTAACAAACCATGAAATAAATTAATGGGTGTCAAACAAACACCAAGTCTTGTCCACCAGGATCCATGACATTGTGCTAAAAGGGTGATTAAATTATTCAAATTTTATTTTTAATCTCATATTTTATTTTACCTTCAACTTTTATTCACTTTATGATCAAAAACTTCATTGGATCCACCAACGTTTATTAACTTCATTCGTTAAAATCTATATCAAACAGTAAGTAAAAAATGAATAACTTTGGCATAAAACAACTTTGCAAACACGGGAAAAAATAATTTCAATATATCTAAAAACA